TCTATACAACCAGAGGAGTCGCCCCCTGGTGGACACTAGAGAGAATGGCGGTTTAAGAGCACACTGGATTTCTCTTGTTTGATTGTTGCACATTTATGGAAAAAAGAGAGAAAGACGGTTTTGCTTGTTGATTCTTAAGGACTGCCAGAAGTCAGTATTTAAACGTTTGTTTTTGTCTTGGACGTATCTTGACGCATGGCCAGATATCCACAGGAATGTGAACAATGCAACAAACAACAAGACTAACCCAAAAGTTGTTGGCTTTGTTTTTCTCTCCAGGAGGTAGTTTTAAGTTGAGCTTACTGGACTTTGCAGAAGTTGCTCTGGAGAAGAGAGTTCTCAAAAGCTTCATTCTAGGAACAAAGTGTTACGTGATGTGCTTTAGAGTCTCGGGTGTCTTCGTACGTACACGCTGTAACTGTTCCACTCTCTCCCCTTTCTGTTTCACTCCACCGCCAGCTCGTGACAGCCATGTCGGCGGTGTGTCTCAGGCTGCTCTTGCTCCTCCCCCTGGCTTGCTGCGTCCCCTCCCCCTCCAGACCTCCCTCCAGGCTCTGCAGGCGGTGCTGCGACCACCCGGAGACCCCCGCCGCCACGGCCCAATATCAGATACCGGAGGTCCGCACCATCATCAACATGACCATCCTCAAAGGTACCAGAGCCCGGATTAGCTCCTGTTAGCTTCTGTTAGCGTCTGAGCACGGAATTAAAGTTTACCGGTGCTTCCTGTCTGTTTCCAGTTCTTCTTTTGATACTTGCAAGATGGAACATGGGAAGTCTTTGTCCCTGACTTTGTTTACCTGCGGTGCAGTTAGTGACAGTGTGGGCTCCATGGTCATGTAGCTCTGAGGGGGCGGGGCTTAGACGAGGGTCAATGAAAGTGCTGCAGTCGAACGTTTCCATTAAAAACATCCTTCCTTAAGTATCTGTTTCCTCAATCAGATCTCAGCTTCTGCTTCTACAGATGTTTGTCTGACAACACGCCTTTGTAACCAGGAGAGTAATCATGTATGTTATAATGGAACAGTGCTGCTGAAGAGTAGCCGTGCATTGGTGCTTCAGAAAGGAAAGGAGACGCTCCAACCTGGAACCACTTTAGAAATAAAATCAACCTCTTCTTAAAGACTTAGTGAAGGAACCAGGCTGCCAAACAACAGCAACGTTAACAGCCTTTCATAGTGTCTCTCACAGAAAATCCATATCAACTAATGAATTCATGCGAGCTCTAAAGTGAAGGAAGAAAGACATTTATACTTGTGTGTCCACACACCGGAGCTCCGAGACAGTTTTATTGGGCCGAAGAAGGCAACATTTCAACAGACCTGGAAGGGTTTGAGAGTCGCCTTCTTCAGTCTGACTTCTGTCTACAAAAACACATAAAACAACAACCACGAGGTCAGATGGAGTATCATACCTGACTCGAGCCTCCGGGTCAGTTCTTAGGATAAGAGGAAACGTTTGGACTCCATAAGACTTGTACTTGTAACACATGACTGACTCAACTCAGGCAACTCTGTGGCAGCGTGGACGAGGTGATTATTCTGTGTTTATGCATTTGTGTGTGTGTGTGTGTGTGTGTGTGTGTGTGTGTGTTTAAGCCTGAAGGGAGGAAACGCAGAGAGATATAAAACAAGAGGAAAGGGATTAAGAAAATACAAGGATATTAACGATATCCAAGAACTCACAGCTGGAGAGGGATATTTCTTCTCTTTGCGAGGAACATGTGTGTTTAATATCAGAGCCTGAGCGGCCAACTCAACCAGAGCGGTCCAAACCACGTGTCATCACACTTCATCCACTGGTCGTTTGATAACCGAACATGCCGAGTCTGTTCTGACCCGAGATCAACCCCCGAACCAGCGCTGAACCGCCGACAGACCCAGAAATAGTGGGCACGCATAGTTTTAGGCAATTAAGTTATTTTTGTGCTGCAGAAGAACCACAACTTCTCCACTAGAAGCTGCAGTTTAAAGTTTGTATTATAAGTATTTTAACCTTTGGAATGTCGTAAAATAAGGAAAGTGTAGATTCCATCAGCTGGTTTGGAGTCAGTGAACTCGGCTTCAGTGTCGTTCGGTCAGACAGACGTTTGCACCGTAGGCTACGAATGTAATCTGCCAGAAAACAGAGTAGAAGGAGAAGTGACCATCTAACCACCTGAGAGAGGAAGATGGAGAGAGGCCTTCATGTCAGTGGTGTCATGTTTCTCTGTAGACGAAGACAAACACATTTAAAGGAAGAGGCTGCATGAGGCTCTCATGTGATCTAGATGCTGTTTCCATAATCTATTTAGTGCATCAAGTCTTTTTCGACAAAGACAAAAGCAGCACTTAAAGCGAGCGTAAAAGATTTGTTCAGGATGAAAACAGCTTAAAAAGATAAAGTTAGAAGCTAAAAGTGTAAATACATTCAGTGTACCTTCAGTAGCTAGCGTAGCATAGAAGTGCTAACGCTAGTAAACAAGGTGCTAATGTACTCTGCTAATGTTATCTCCATCACACGACGAGTAAACGGACGCATTGATGAGAGTCGATGGAGCTATGCTACGCTATGATTGGCCAGGCCGTGTTGTAGAGGCGGGACTTCGCAAGGGGTCAATTGAGGGAAGTTTTATTGCATTTGGAGTTTCCACACAGTTTCCTCATGCGATACTTCAGAATGCGTGTAGACACACATGGATTGGAACTCTATAGAATGTCTTTGCGACTGAAGCAGAACTTTCTATTGGACCACGTTCAGGTCCAGCACACTGAGAACTGGACTGGACTTTATAACGTGGATGGAAAGTGGAGAGAAAGGATTTAACCCTCACAAGTTGTATTTATGTCTCAAGTTGTTCGTCTTCTTTACAGATGAGGCAATAAAACAAAACAGTTCACAGCGTTACTGTAGTGCAGCTGTGCAACAAGGGAACAGACGCTTCACCTGGCACTGAAGCTGCTGATGTGGCAGAAAACACACACACACACACACA